TATATATATATATATATATATATATATATATTATATAATTTATATACATATAGGTTAGCTTAGAAGATTGATATGATACAAGAACTTCTATTGACAATCTATCTTATATCAAAAGTATCGATCCTTCCACAAACAAACTCACCGACGGCATTTCCGATAGCATCGGAAGTTTGAAAGGTATCGAACAGGTTTTTACTGTGTTCCATCTGTTAAGCAATTGTTGAGATGAATTTCGGAAATCGAAATTTTATGAAAATCAAGAGAATTTTGCAATGTTTACACCTGATTTTTTACAAAAACAAACTATTAATTCAAACTTCAGACGTTTGTCAGTTTACAAAAACAAATAGTCTTATTGATTCAGATTTGAGACTTCAACACCATCTCTATTAATCAGAAGTGAAATAAGACTTCAGACTTCAGCACCTCTTAAAAAAAACAAATGTCACCATAATATCGAAATGAAAATTCCTAGCAGATTTTTTTTCAAAATTAAAGTGAAACTATAATATGTACTTTAAACTATTAAAAGCTGAAATCACCGAGTAAGGAAGAAAAAAAAGGCTGAAAATGATTCTTGAATGAGATATTTAAGAGCATTATGTTATATTTTCTCTCTATTCTATCAAATATAGAATTTCTTTCTTTTATTTTCCTTTATTTAGAGAAGAGCTTAGCATATTTATTGAAACAAACTTCTAAATCTTCAAAATTTATTAAATAAAATAGTTGTCGAAGATGCTCTATCCTATCTTTGGTTTGGTTTTTCTTAGGCGCAATCAAGTTAATAAAAAAAATGTGGTTCATTTAAAGGACTGGTTCTCGGTTTGGATATTAGTGGCAGACAGGTGGTCCTAAAACCCCAAAGCAATAACAAGAGGTCTGAGACCGGTTATTAAAAATTGGGACCGGTTGCTAAATGTTTTTAAACTAGACAAGTTAAGAGATAGATTACAAAAATAGTCATCTGGAGATGTTAATAGGCTTTGACCATACGTAATTCGGTCCTCAACCAAACCAATTAACCGAACCTTGATCAACCAAATTGGCCACCAATTATATAACTGGAAAAATAGGTACTATTTTATATCTGAAAATTAAATAAGTCTTGATCAACCAAACTGTTTTATTTATTCTTTAAAAATTAGGCTTCCAAAATCGAGCTTGAATCAAATTCAAATAACAATTTTTTTATACATTTCTAGCCTTGACCAAGGGTTATTGAATCCTAATATTACTTTTCAAAAGAACCCTTGAGAAGAAATGAGAGGTTCCAACATATATTCAAATTGCATGCAAATAATGTAATTGAGATGTCCTCGACAATCTTTTTTTTTATTAACCTGGATGTCCAACCCGCTATGCGAGCCGACTGATCTCAGGGCTACCACCTGCTTTGCAGATAACTCAAAGTCACTGCATTTGAACCTCCGTGGCCATGAAGAGATTTTTATTCCATCTTGGATTTGAACCTAAGACCTTCTGGAACTTTTGACCTCTGGAACCAAGCTCAAACCAATCAAGCACCGCCCTTATGGTTCTCCACAATCTATTTGCAATCGCAGATGATGAAATGAAAGGATGATCTTCAAGAGTAAAAAAAAAAATGCCCAAAAAATGAGTTAACGCAATGGTGGAGTGTTCAATTTTTGTCCCCACACCAAGAAATGGGTGACGCAATATCCTTCGTTGAACCCATAAAGGTAAGAAAATTACAATGGTGGAATGTTTACTTAAACACTTATCCGGTAAACGTTTATCGGTAAAATTTAACACTATTGTTTACTTATTGAGTAAAATTTGAGTCCACCAAACCGACATTGTATGTAATAATTTACCCGATAAGCGCTAATCGTGGTAAGGGTCGTCGTCATTACTTACCAGATAAGACTCTCGGTCATTGTTTTCGTTCTTACCGGATAAGATTTTTGGTCTTTGTCATAATCATCTGATAAGGTAATATGACTTGGTAAACATTTAGTAAACGACCCCTTAATCACAAAAAAACTCTCTAACTTCCCTCATTGAAGACTATATTCAGCATAAATCACGATACGCTATTTTTACATCGTAATGTAGAAAATACAAGAATAACAATAATATATTTATATTTGTAAAAAAAAAAAAAAAAAGTAATTAAAATCCAAAAATGACATAAGTGGGCCCTTAAGTTTTGATGATACAATTTCCTTGCCTCTATATGAAGACACCTCATCAGCTATATCAAAAACCACCGTCATCTCATCCCTTCATTCTCTCTCTCTCTCTCTCTCTCTCTCTCTCTCTCTCACACACACACACACACATATATATATATATATATATATATTATATATATAGGGGCCTAATCATATATAAGATGCATAGTGATACCACTGTGTTACATCTTCGATCGATCACACATACGACATCAATGTGATACCCAAGCACATATATGATACATTGTGATACCATTGTAGTATCACCGGAGGACGGTGGCCGGCGGACGATGACCGGAGGACGGTGACTAGAGAGAGAAGAGAGGAGGGAGGAAAGTTTTAAAATACCAAAAATATCCTTGCATTAATATTTTAATTCAAAATTGTCAAAATTATAAATTTCCTAATTTATCTATTG